TTGCAGAAGAAGTTCCCGGATGTTTTTTTTGGTGCACATTTCCACAGCAACACCGCGACATCTAAAGAAAAGATAATTGCCGCCTTGAAGGCAGGGTGCCAGATGATTGACAGTGCACTTGGAGGTATGGGGGGATGTCCCTTTGCAAAAGAGAACGACCTTGTTGGTAATGTTGCGACAGAAACGGTGCTGCAGGCAATAGATGAGCTGAATCTTCTGCCTTCATCAATTGACCGGAAGCAAATTAACGAATGTGTTCTTCTTAAGCAACATATATTTGGGGTGACCGTGAAGGATATGTTATTGTCACAAAGCCTGCGGGATGAAAAGCGTTTTTTCCAATTATGCCAAGAACACTTCAAACTGTATGATGTAAACGACACGGGAATGTTAGACTACGAGGGGTTTCGCTCCAGCATGCTTCGTGTTTTTGAGGAGTTGGGCTGTGATCCGCCAAGTGAGGAAAAAATTTGCTCAAGCTTCCATAAGGTTGATGTGCAAAAGCTTGGATGTATCACACTTGATGCCTACACGATGGGCGCCAGGAGACTCCTCATGAAGAGGCTGGGTTTTTTTGCCAATGTGAAGAGCGGTGAGACCGGCGGTTCCCGTAGGATCGCAACTGCCTAAGAGCAAAAAAAAAAAAAAAAAATCCTGTGGAATAAGACGACGAGGGAAAGTCACACTCACGCATTGAAAGGGAGGAATAGTGACAATAAATAAATACGGCCTTTTGTTTTTGTTTTATTTCTTCGTTTTTTTTTTTTTTCTGTGTGTGTTGTTTGTTTTTTCTTTTTTGTTCTTGTGGTGGTGCATTCATTTTGTGTGAAGGAATGTGTTGTATTTTTTTTTTGATTTTTTGATTTTTTGGCCGTGAATACTTTGAAATTACTTTGCATTTCAGTGTTTGTGTCGTTTGCCTATGCGACGGCGGGAGTGCACGAACATGTGTGTGTTTGTGTGTTTCTGATGGGGGAGGGGGAGAGAACGAGAAGGAGGAAAAAAAAAGAAAAAGAAAAAAAAAGAGAGAAAATTCCAGCAGCGTTAATGTCGCTGCGCGGCGGATTGTAAAATACATATATTTTTATATGTTTATATTTTATCCCTTCCCCCTTCTATGTATTCTTTTTTTATGCTTCAATGGGGGGCGCATGGTTCTTTTTCTCTCATTCCCTTCAGCCGTCCTCGCCAGTGCCGCTTGTATTCCCGGGTGTTGTTTGTTGACGCCGCGGAAACCCCACACGGTCAAGGACGGGCAGTGAAGGGTGGGAGATGTAATACACGACGATGCCGCTTTTGGGTGGGTTTTTTTGTTTGTTTGTTCCTGCGCTTCATTTTCGGATGCCTTCTGTTTGTATGAGTGGGCGTGCGTGCGTGTGTATGCATGCTCACACTCGCTCTTCTGGGCGGCTAGCCGTGCCGGGGGATGGGAGGGAGGAGGCTCTAATGAGATGTCGATTTGTCGCGTGGATATTTTTTTCTCTGTTTATCTCGGTTCTTTCCTTTTTTTTTTTTTTTTATGTGCTGTGCGCATGAATTTGTGTAGGCACACACGTTTATTTTCTCATGATCTGCTTTCTCCTTTTTTTTTTTTTTCTGGGTGTCTGTGCGCTGCTGCGTTGACTGGTCCAGCACACATTTACACCATTTGCTGTCTTTCTGAGAAGTGACGGGAGGCGAAGGGCTTTTCAAGGCAACCGGAAAGGAAGGACGGGGGAAAAAAAGGGAGCAACGAGATGAAGAACATTTCCAACAAACGGATAATCAAAGATCTTAAGCTTCTTCTTGAGGAAGTGGATGCAAATAATGAAGCCAACAGCAGCGGTAGCCCACATTCCGCTGCTATTTTTTCTGTCCATACGGACACAATCTATAATTGGATACTGAAGGTGAAAGCCCCTGCCGATAGCGTCTACGGTGGCGCCGGTAACACATATCAACTTTCGGTACTCTTCTCTGAGGACTATCCGCATGAGCCACCAACTGTGCGTTTTGTTACCCCGGTGTACAGCCCATTAGTGACAGAAGAAGGTGGAATTTGTGATCGGATGGTTAACGACGTCTGGACCCCGGACCAGCGTGCCTCAGACGTCATCAAACTTGTATTGGATAGGGTATTTTCTCAATACAAGAACCACAGTGATGACGATGTGAATCCTGAGGCGCGTCATTATCTAGAAAAATTTCCGCAGGAATTCGCCGCACGAGTACGACGAGGAGGTTGATAACCCCCGTGTCATACACATGATGAACTTCATTGAAGGCCGTTGTTGTTGGTTATCTTCTAGTTCCATCTGTCCATGCTGTTGTTAATATCCGTTTAAAGACACAGTGTGTTTCATTTCAGAAGTGTGGGTGTTTTGCATATATGTGGATATCTGTTTGAGCATTTATGAAAAGGTACAAATGGGTGATTTAACAGATAATTGTTTCTCGGTTTATGAAAACTAGACAGTTGTTGTTGTTTGTTTGTTTGTTTGCTTTCTTATTTCCTAGTGGTGATCCTTCTTCTGCTTGTGTGTTGTCTCATTTATTATTATTTTGAGGAGGATTGTTTTTGTTGTTGTTTATGCATTGATTCACTTCTTGCGAGTGATTTGCGCTTGTTCCTTTTTATTTTATTTTATTTTATTTTCTCCCCATCTCCACCCCCTTTTTTTTTTTTTACACCGAAACACACTTTTGTGAAGCAAAAAATGCGCCGGGTACATCAACTGTCAGGCACATCGTGGCGGGATAGGCATCTTTTTTCGGTTTTTGTTGTCATTCGTTGTGTGATTCAGTCTAGCCAAAGCAATGGGTTGCGTAGTCCTCTCGACCAGTACGAGGATTTTAGGCTGGTGCAGCAGCTTCGCAAAAACAGACAAGGGAATTACTACCGTTACCAGCAGAGGCTGTGGCCATCGACGGAGGCGTTGGAACGGTCAATGACAGAACGACTCTACAGCCCCACAGAGCGTTCTCCGCTGGCGCTTTTGCCGCAGCCGAAAAGGACATCACCCAATCGCACGCTCGTTCTTGAAGGAAATGGTGCAACAGCGCTGCTAGAAGCCGCGGAATCCACGCTCGCTCAGAATGGTCAAACAACAGCCAACGAAGCCACGACACCAAGTGCTCCTTTAAGTGACATGGAGGAAATGCTTGCGGAACACCTGCGTGTTGAGCTACAGGGGCCCATTGGTAGTAAGATCATTACCGAAGCAGATTTGGAAGGCACCATCTTAGAATCCGCTCGTGAACGTGCCAGACATGTTATTGAAGAGGACCTTTTGGTTAACGATTTGGTATCGTCATCATCATCATCTGCGTCATCAGCGGTACTGTCTTTGCGCCGCAAGGTGCCATCAGCGAAAGACGAGGGAGGTGTAGCGTGGATTTCTCTTGGACTCGACCCAGTGCTGAGTGAAAGGGCGCTTGCCAAGTATGGACCGGCTCCCACGCGCCTTCAGTGCCGTCTGCTTCCGGCGCTTCTACACGAGGATCATAATGATGTCCTTTTTAATGGGGTCACAGGAAGCGGCAAGACCAGTGTTTTCCTTCTTGCATTATTGCAGTCTGTGAGATCGGAGGCAGCAGGTCTCAACGTGTTTGTGGCAAAGGATGGGTTGACCGCATTGCATGCGTACAGCCAGCTTCGAGCTCTTTGTGGCCCTTTGGGTGGTACTGTGGTAGACCGTCCTCGGGATGATTGGTCGTGGCTGTACCTTGGCTCCTATCGAGAGGGTTATGAGAAGTACTACCGTGCGCTTAGACGTTCGCTTCATAGCGATCATGGCCCAGTGCGCATTTTCATTACAACTGCAGATACCATGTGTGAATTGTTGTTTGAGAAAAAGATGGAGTTTGAGTCTTTTGGGTACTTGCGACGCGTATATATAGATGACATTGGCGTACAAATACCAATGATACCACCTAATGCTCCTGTGGCGGAGATGCGGAAGCGTTTGAGGAACCCACTGGCCTGCGAATTGCTCTTGGGAACTCTTCATCAGCTTCCAGGGCCGCACATCCGCTCGATCCTGCAGCTTGGTCTTGTGTCGGCGGACATGGATGAACGTCTCAAGGATCATTTGAAGGCGCTGTGTGTGAAACTTGAGCGGCACACCATTGTTCTATCCTCTGTGCGTGTTCCTTCCACAATCCACTGCCTTTTTAGTTTTCATCTGTTCCACGAGGATTTGTATGAATATCTTGTGAAGCTAATCTGGAATGCCCGGGACACCATCCCCGGACGTGCAGTTATATTTATTCGCCAAGAAGATAATTTGTTGCAGGTGCGAACAAAACTTCGCGGTCTTGGAATGAACGCCAAACTTTTCTCAGAGGTGTGCCATGATGGTGAGTTTTGTGGCAAGTGGAAGTTCCTGCTTCTTCGAGAGTCGGAAGTGTTTGGGATTGAAATTCCTCTTGTCTCCCATGTCTTCATCACATTTTGTCCCAGGACGGCATGCTCCTTTCAGCACATGTGTGGCCGCACCGGTCGGCTTGGAAACCTGGGTTGGGTGTACACCGTCACCGACAAGCGTGACGCCAAAAGTGTCCGGGAAATTGCCACGCAGTTGGATGTGGATTTTTGCAATCACGTCATTAACGTCCAACTCGCACAAGCCCCTCCGAAAGATATGGATCGTCAGACTAAGGAATACGAGCTGTACGGTCTTGATCCTCAGTACGCAGTGAGGCAGCATTATATTGTGCAAACAGAGAATCCAAGTATGGCATACCGGAGTCGCGAGTTCTTTAGTAAACCGGCCAAGAAGCAGTTTCAGATGGAGCAGTACACACCCATCTCCGTCCTGCACCGCCGCTTTGTCAACTCTAAAAAGTTGGCTGCGGATATAAATCGTGACCCCAGTGTGGCCGTCTCACTGCAAAAACAGGGCCTGCTTGACCAAAGTTTGAAGCCAACCAAACGACTGAAGTTTCTACTCAATAAAAAAAGCCAAAAGCACGGCGTATCACTCTATGGTGGAAAGAACGGCATTCACGACGGTCGATGAGAAGCAGCAAAAAAAATCCACATTTTTTTTTTGAAAGACTTTTTTCTTTGTCCCTATTTTTTTTTTTTGTCTGTGTGTGATTTCTTCGCGGGATTTATTTTTTATCGGCCTCAATTTTTAAAAAAGGGATCATTTCCCGTTTTTGCTGTTGAGGTTGTTTCCCCCGTTGTTTTTCTTCTATGAGGCATGGAATTTGGGGAAAGCGGGTATTATTCCCAGCGCGAGCGTACATATCTGTGTATACTCCCACCCAGCAAGAAGCAGTAAAGGGATACGAGATTCCATCTATCGCAGGTGATGCCCGGCGCGGGAGTGGTGCAGGGGAATAAAAATGCACCGCAACATTCTTTGAAGGCTGAATGGTCGAAATCACCACGCACAGTCACTAAACAACGGAGCAACCCCCAGTCATTTCCAGCGAGCCACCGGTTCGTGGTACCCACACATGCTCAGAGAGAGGACATTGATGAAAAGAACTGCTCGGTGCCGCCCCGGCAGGAATGTCCCCCCTTTGCAAGAAATGTGGGTAGGCGCCCGCCCTCGGACTTACAAAGCATAGCGAGTATGGATAACACGGAGTTGTTAGACCACCACAAACACCGCTACCACAAACTGGTACTGGAGTGCAAAGAGCGCTCTCTCCAGCTAGAGAAAATAGAAGAAGAAGGGCGAATTCAAACCGACAACATGGTAAAACTTTTAGATGACATCAGTGCCCGAGTGGACCAGCTATGCTTGCTCGAGAAGCAAATATGCGGTGCTCTTACGAAGGAATTCAAGAAGAATAAACAGCTAAGAGAAAGTGCAATACAACGAGGATACGTATAAAATTATCACCATAGAAGGAAACAACAACAAAAAAAAAACACTTTTACTACATATATATATATACAACCTTTGTGTGGTTGATTTATCTTCACTCGGTAAATGAATCGTCTCCGTGAAATATTCTTATACAACACTGCCGTCTTTACAAATCACAGAAAAACGCAGTTTAATGGCATATACAATGTAATTCCCAACCTTTTTCAAAAAAAAAAAAAAAAAAGTAAGTTTCCCACCCCCCTCTCCCCATTTTGCACATGAGGATGGCACAGGAAATGTGTGGCTCTGTCCGGGTGGTGGTGCGGTGCCGTCCGCTCCTATCAGGAGAAGAAAGTGACGCGTGTTCCCGAGTTCATTTTGAGGCAGAAGGCGGCAATGTGCTCGTGGACGGCAAGGCTCAGAAGGGGACACGCTGCTTTACCTTTGATCGCGCCCTGCCACCGAACTCCACGCAAGAGGATGTCATGCAGGAAGTATCACCGATGATTGAGCACGTCCTGAAGGGCATCCACGCCACCGTGTTCGCGTACGGGCAGACGGGTAGCGGAAAGACATACACGGTGGAGGGCATCGACTACCTGCGGCACGGCAGTGGGAATCCCAGGCCCAGCCTCAAAACGGATCCCCGGCAACACGGCATTATTCCTCGTGCCATCCAGCTTGTGTTTGATCGCGCACGGGAGATGCAGTTGGAGGACGGAAACCTGCGGTTCCAGTTCTGCTGCAGCTTCTATCAGATATACAACGAGCGCGTGATGGACCTGCTGAACCCTGCCACGACGCACTCGCCGAACACCGGGCTGAAGGTCGGCTGGTGCCGCGGCGACGTCTTTGCCGTGGAGAATCTTTTCATCTGCAACTGCGATGAGCCGGAGAAGATGCGTCGATGCTTCTTCTCCGGCACGAAGGAGAAATTCATGGGAAGCCACGCCATGAACCAGCAGTCATCGCGTTCGCACTGTGTATTCACCATATATGTTGCCCGCTGCGACGCCGACTCGCCAGAGACACCCATCAGAGCCGAGCTTTCCATTGTGGATCTGGCCGGATCGGAGAGGGTCGCAATGCTTTCTAGGAGCCCGTCTTCGTCAATGCTGAAGGACTCTCCCGATATCAACGCGTCACTTCTCACTCTCGGAAGAGTCATTACAGCTCTTACTGCTAATGGTACAAGAGCGAAGAAAGGTAAGCCCGCTGATAGGTCGCACATTCCATACCGCGAGAGTAAGCTGACCATGTTGCTGAAGCACGCATTAGGCGGCAACTCGCTCACTACCATGATTGCATGCATTAGTCCGTCAGACCGGTATGTTGATGAGACATTGTCAACTCTTCTGTACGCTGGTCGAGCGCGCAACATTACGAACATCCCACGTGTAAACGAGGACGCGAAGTCTGCGCTCATCCGTCAGCTCCGTGCTGAGGTAGCCAGCATGAAGAGGGAATTGAAATACTACACGGAATTGCTGGCGAGATTGGGTGTCCCACATCGAGAGCAACTGAACTGGGGCCCACCTTCGTTGAATGTTGGATAAACATGCTATTAATGATGTACGTATGGATTTGTTGTACGTACAGCGTCCGTTTTTACTTTTATTTATATACTACTAAAAGATCCATCCCTTCCGTGTATACAGTTTGAGGAATACAAATATCATTATTGTTTGTTGTTGTTTTTGTTGCCAAGTGGATCCACAGGGAAGTGGGGAATCCCATTACACAGAAACTTTGAATATTTCAGTATTGTTTGGGTGTGGATTGGGAGAATGCATTGCACGAAACCAGGAATTAAAGAAGGGAAATGCTTCCGTGAACTACTGAATGCCAGACACTGCTTCAGAGCCATGCAGAATCAACCATTTGAGCGTTTACGTATGCCGCATTTGACTGCATTAGGTGGGAAATCGGCCGGATTAGTTGTTTACTGCGAAACACCGATAAGAAGCTGCCTTGTATGAATGTGGGTTGCAAACTCTATTTGTGCCGTAAATAGGCCTTTTTTTTTTTTTCTGTTATTACTGTTTGTTGAAATGAAATGGTGGAGACACATGCGTGCCAGAAATATTTTTTTTTTTTAAGTATGTCTGCCTTTTTTTTTTCTTTGCAGTGTTTTGCCCAGCACTTTTTATGTTTCATCAATTGCATCTTAGCTGCTGTGGAGCCAATTCTTGTTTCTTTATCAAATTATTGCTCTTGAATTTTATTTTAGATATTTTTTTTTGTCGGCGTCTTTGGTTCTTGTTTCTGTTTTTTTTTTTTGTGTGTGTGTGTGTTTTGGGGGGGAACCGCCTTGCATATGCTTCTACACTCGGTTTGCACCACAATTTTATTTTTATTTTGTTTTTGTTTTTCCTCGTAGCCTCTTTAAAATTGATGATTTAGTGGAGACAAGAGTAGGGAGATGGCAGTGGGACGGCCTAGCACGTAGTGTCTCAGTGGCAGCATTGCCATTGGGCGGGCGGACTGAGGCGCATTGTCTTTCTCTTCATTCCGCGGACAGTCTCGCATCTATTTATGGGTTGGATCCGTAAATGGAATAGTGTGAAGGCTCTGCGTTGAAGTATGTGTGGCAGGCGCGGATTTCACTGCGTCTCCTTGTCGTTCTTCGGGTTGCGTCAATACGGAATGGTGCGCCCTTCCTGCCTATGGTATCAATTTGTGATGTGCTTGTAGAGTGGGGCAGTGAGAGAGAGGCAGCCTCCAGACAATACCGATATTTATCCGTTGCTATCCTATATCCCCAGTTGCGGTTTCTTGCTAACGGTACTTTCTCTCTCTCCCCGATGATTTGCGCAAAACTGCCTCTACTGCACAAGAAGTAAGTTTCCCACCCCCCTCTCCCCATTTTGCAAATGAGGATGGCACAGGAAGTGTGTGGCTCTGTCCGGGTGGTGGTGCGGTGCCGTCCGCTCCTATCAGGAGAAGAAGGTGACGCGTGTTCCCGAGTTCATTTTGAGGCAGAAGGCGGCAATGTGCTCGTGGACGGCAAGGCTCAGGAGGGGACACGCTGCTTTACCTTTGATCGCGCCCTGCCACCGAACTCCACGCAAGAGGATGTCATGCAGGAAGTATCACCGATGATTGAGCACGTCCTGAAGGGCATCCACGCCACCGTGTTCGCGTACGGGCAGACGGGTAGCGGAAAGACATACACGGTGGAGGGCATCGACTACCTGCGGCACGGCAGTGGGAATCCCAGGCCCAGCCTCAAAACGGATCCCCGGCAACACGGCATTATTCCTCGTGCCATCCAGCTTGTGTTTGATCGCGCACGGGAGATGCAGTTGGAGGACGGAAACCTGCGGTTCCAGTTCTGCTGCAGCTTCTATCAGATATACAACGAGCGCGTGATGGACCTGCTGAACCCTTCCACGACGCACTCGCCGAACACCGGGCTGAAGGTCGGCTGGTGCCGCGGCGACGTCTTTGCCGTGGAGAATCTTTTCATCTGCAACTGCGATGAGCCGGAGAAGATGCGTCGATGCTTCTTCTCCGGCACGAAGGAGAAATTCATGGGAAGCCACGCCAGAACCAGCAGTCATCG